CACATTTGAGGCTGCACGGAGGGCTGCGGCTTGATGGGTTCCAGTCCATCCTCTGTGTGAGCTGTGAGCCGCTGTCTGGAGATAAGAGTGCGTGTGTGTGTGTCTTTGTGTGAGAAGGCCTCAGCCTCTGCTTTATCATTAATCTAAACAAGCTGTGACTCAACCAGAGAGACAGAGACAGAGGTCTGAATGAAGAGTGTTTCAGCCTTGAAACATGCTTCGTCTGACGTAAGCATTATGAAGCAAGCCTCAGGCACAAGCGTCCTCTTCTACATGGAACCCACCACACTTTTAGCACTCACACCCTGAGGCTGAACACACTGGGTACCAGGGTTGGGTTTTGCCGCTGAGCTCATAATACTAATGACAATGCATGTGTCATGATTACATATACAAACGCAATTCCAAAAAAGTTTGGCACCGTAGATAAAATGCAAAAGAAAACCAAAAGCAGTGGTCTGTGTTTTACAGGTATTTAATTGAAAACATCACAAAGAATACATATTTAATAATTCACCCTATCAATGTTATTATTTCTTGTAAATATATACTCTGAAGAGATGCAAACTGTCTTTTTCTGACTAGCTCACTAGATGTTAACTACTTTTTTGAAAGCAAGAAAGTCTTGTTACTTTTTACTGTATGTTTATTTATATGTATTCTAATGATATATGACGTTTTTAAAAGCAAAAACACACTTAATGCCAAGAGAAATTATTTTAAATAATGTACTTAGGTGCCTAAGACTTTTGCATAGTTCTGTATTTAAAAAAAAATATATATTAATTATGTGTTTATTAACACATTAATAAAATATTAACGTGATAAATTATCAACACTTTTAACACATTTTCCTAGTTTGACCCTTCAGACCATCTGTAGTTCCAGGCTAAAGCTCAGCTGCTCACATGCCGTATATTGCTTTGATAGAATCTGCAATTGTAGCCATCTCATTCAAGCTTTTTACTGGCTTTTAAAGAGTGTCAGTGAGAGAATACAGGTGAAACCATTAATATTAATATTTTATATAAAACCTACTGCGGACCTAAAACCAAAACTGAATTTAGGTGTCCTTGAGAGCCTTGAAGATTTAGCTTAGCTAGAAAACAGTTGCCTAGTTGGCCTAGTAAGTTGTAGTACCTTTAACAGATAGTTGATAGCAATAAGTTAAAGCAGGTCATAAACCCAGGAATAATTGAGAGGTTTTCTTTTGCACTGTATTTTCCTGGTATTACGCAAAAATTCTTAATGATGTAGGCTTATAAACAATGTTGCCTCATAAAATGTTGCCTCATAAAAAGTTAAAAGTAGTGTAAAATGCCTGAAAATAGGCTACTCGTTCCAGACCACTACCACAAACATTCAAAATACAGTGTTACACAAACAAAAGACAATATCCATTAATGATAACATTCTTGCCTGCCAGATGAAGACAAGGTCAAAGTCGTGCCTGCTGTGGAGTATATTGTGCAAACCACTGCTGTTGAAGAAGCTTTACAATATTTAATGGGTTTGTATAGCCGCTGCCAGTGGGTAAACACTGCGTATTGCCTGGTGGCTTTGACCACAGTATTTCACATTTCAGTCACTAAAAATGCAGAGCCTGTGTCCCGAGTGTCTGTTTGGGCACTAATTAGCTAATTTCATCAAATCAGATAAAGTATTGTATGAATTTGTGTGGTTTTGAGAAGCATGTGATGTTCTGTTGTGCATGTCATCAGTTTCTATAACAGGCACAAAGCACAAGTTCATTCTTTACTGGGAGTTTAGGAAACACAATATTCAAAAGCAGGAGTTTAGGTGTGTCGGCAGGTTTCAGTAATAAAAATGTTCAAACCGGCTGACTATCATGAAAACTTTGATTTTTTCACATCATTCACTGGTTTGACTGGTATAATGGGGTGGAGTGGATGTGGATGACTTACTTAGGGGACACCTGACTGGTTTTAGTTTCTGAATTATACTTCCTTATTGTAAATATCCTGTAGATATCGGTGCTGTCCAAAGAAAAACAAGTATCTCCAAAATGGCAACTTTGCAGCAGAAGGCAAAACCATTCTTAACTTTTAATGTAAGTTAATCTGAAGAGATTTAATTACAAGCAATTTTGGAGCATTTTTATTGGTCCATTCATAATGAACTTTTCGCACAATGTGAAGGACAACTGCTGTGCTTTGTTTTTGGATAGTGATGACATGATTAACATCGTTCTGCCCACAAATTCTTCATTTTTGCCACAGGATTTATTGGTGTGGCCAGTGCAAATTTGATCTGCCCACCCCAGGCCCACCCCAGGCCCACACTGATATATGGACATATATTGGTATATGGCAGTGGACATGAACGCACAGACAATTACATAAACAAACATCGGTGCAAGGGTTTCAAAATGAAGAATGAGACAAAACAGCAATTAGTCTAACAGGCACAGCTCTATCACAAACACCTGCAAAAATGCTGCCTCGTGACCCATTCTGAGTTAGCGCAGAAGCTAACTACAGTCTCCCAGCTAATCCTGTGTACAGCCAGCCATCTGGCAGGGGAAAGCTCTGGGGGTAATGACTGACATCATCGCTGTTCATAACCCAACCCTACGACAGCGTGGACTGATGATCTCAGCCGTGCCACTCAGACTGTTTCGTCTTCCTGTTGTGGCCGGCAAACACAGTGTCCACAGGCAGTGTGAAACACCTCACAGCCTTGGTGTAACAGTGTCATCAGGCTTCAGCATGTACACCTGTTCTGTATGTAAATCTCTGAAGATTGAGGTCACCACATGTCCACCTGTGTCTCTGTCCACAAGAGGGCGCAGCGGAACTGTGAGGAAAGTGAAGATGAAATGTAGAGAGGGGAAAAAAGGTTGGCAGTGTGTGCTTTTGTTGGGTTTAATTGAAGATGCAACAGTTGTTTATTTACTTAATTGAGCTTGCGTGATGTTTGGTGGTTAGGCGGTGGACAAGAGGCTTGAGCTCACACGAGAGGAATGCTAATGGCAGCTCTCTCCTTCCTGCATGCTGCCCCGCACCGAGCACATTCTTTTCCTCCCTCTCTCTCTCTCTCTCTCTCTCTCTCTCTCTCTCTCTCGCTCTATCTCTATCTCTATCTCTTCCCTTCTTTCCCTCTTCATTTTTTTCCCTTCATTTGCACATCACTCGGGTGAATGCAGGAGACCCCAATCATCTCTTCCAGATGGTTTACCTTACAGAAACACTTTGTATCTTCTGCCTTTCCAAGTCTTCACACACATACACACACACACCAAGATGAACCCACGCCTTCCTCCCAGCTCACTGTCTTGTTAAGTGGATGCATCTTTAGCCCTGCACTGTTCCTTGAGACACAGGTTTATGTTACATTCTCTCTCTGTTGTGCTTAGTTTTCTTTACTGTAGTACTACAGTTCTGTATTTGCCACCGGACTTATTTTTTTGGTTCTTAGTCTCGCAAGCAAGACTGTAGTCTCGCAGGGACAGACGGGATCTCGTAACAAGAACATCTGGGGACAACCTTGGGAAATTTGGGGTTAAATGTGGGTGGGAGCAAATTGAGTGTGAAATTTCTAAACCCTTTAACTGACAAACTCTTTGTGATTGAACATTAAAAAGACATTAAAAGACATGCCATACTTTTTGTTGGGGCTAAATGAGGTCAAATTACTCAGATATGGTGTCTTTTACATCACTTCTGATTAAGTCTTACAGCTAGCTCATTTCTAATTGTGGGTACATCAGATAGAGGGCAAAAAGTCCAGGAATAGCTGGGCAGACTAACACAGGGTAAAATGTAACACTGTTATTTTCTGTAGTTAAACTGGTTAAAGCCAAACATGCTTCTAGTCATGCCCTTGTTTTCCCATAGTAACATCATCTGTGAATTTTGAGAGCAGTCAGATGGATGTTTCTTCAGGTTCAGACAGTTTGAACGGTTTTTATACCATAAATGTAACTTTTTCAATCCCAAAGATTTTTTTAATACTGAGTTGTGCGTTTAAGTTACAAAATTCATTCCTGTATTTTAATCACTCTAATTGTGGCTGTAACATGGCAGCATCTTAAAGCCACCACGCACCTCACAGTGAAAACTAGCCAGGCTAAAGTACGACCTCCCACACAGTATTGTTAGTTGTAACAGTTTTACAACTTAACCTTACTTAAATCAATAATGAGAGAAGCCCATATCCCCCATTTAGAACCACATAATTCATTCTTTTGAGGTTTTTATGTACAGATTAATCAAAAATGTACTTTAGATATAATAAATAAAATATTTCATTTTTATTGTTCTGATATTTGCTTTCGTACTTTGTGGTCAAACATTTTCCACATTCAGCAGCCTCTTTTCATTAATATTTATTAATGTTTCAGGGCTAAATCAGGGCAAATTAATACATTTATTTATTTATTAATTTTTATGTATTTATGTTGGAAAGCTCCAATAGAATTGTATTGAATTACTTGTGTTTTGTATCAGTTTTACCAGACTTTTTAGTAATTGTTACAACGAGCCCCTCCATCTGTTATAAATAACCCCACTTGTGGAGTTAATTGTTACATTTGCACTCATGCAGTTGGCTGTATTGTTCGTAAGTATATCACTGCTGTCCAAAAACGGTTTTATTTTCCTACATCATTCAACGCGGCAGCTGTGCTTCAAATTGTGTGAACATTTCATGATGAACTGCCAGTAGAAATGCATCAGAATTACTTGAAATTAAATCTTTTTACATTAACTTACATTAAAGTTAACATTTTTGACTTATCCTGTGATTACTATTCTGGAGTTACTTGTTTTTATATGTTTTCATTTGTAGCAGAGATGTGCAAGTTGCTTAAACAAAATGATTAATTTAGCTCAAATATCTTTTTACTAAGCAGTAAATGAAATATTTCAGAAGGTGCTCACTCTCCCCAACTATTGCAAAGGGTGCCAGATTTCACATGTTCATAGGTTTTGCCATTTGTTACAAACACATTCACTTTCTGTATGTTTGTGTTTTTGCAGAACTCTCTGAGCAGCGAGCGGGATTATGAGAGCCTGGTGCTGATGCGCATGAGGCAGGCTGCAGAACGACAGAGGCTGATCGAGCAAATGCAGAAGGAGGATGAGGAGGAGGCAGCGAAAACCTGACCGCATCACAAAAGGATCCTTCATTACTGCTCTTTAATTTCTGTCTTTATTTTGACAGTAATTTAAGTCCTCACAAATCAATAAAGTATTTTCTTTGGTAAAAGATGGCGAATTGGGCTCACGTAACTCGATGTGCTCCAAGGGTGTGTCTTGGCAGAGAAAATGATTTACATTAAGGAAGCGTGCAGCCTAGCCTGCGAATGGCTTCAATCAGTCGGCAGATGGCCCGCAAACCGCTGACCATGTCTCTCAGGGTAACTTTTTGGACGCAGAACTCATTCTTGTCCAGTACTGAAGTCAATTAGTGCTGCTCTGTAGACAATGGCATGAGCCGGTTCTGTGGGGTGAAGTAAACATAGGGCTTTCATGGGAACAGTGCTGGTCGACATGATGAAAGGTGAGGGGAGGCTCCAGCCTCTCTGTAATAACTGTGGTGGTTATGATGATTGCTCTTCAGACTTTGTGTATTGGAGGCTGTGGCCCAAATTGCTGAGGGCACACATGGAGTTTCAAGGCCAAAGTCCATGATGAAAGTCTGCTTTTTGGGTACCGGCCTTGTTTTCTTACACCTTCCAGCAACAGAGAAATTTTCTCTTGGCAGCATTTGATTCTCTTAAATAATAAAGACTTTTTAGCCTTATTGGATTTGAATTCATTTTGAATAGCGTTAATTGTAAGTATCTTTTATATGCTCTCATATTCTGTCCCTTGGATGCAGATAGATGTGTGTTGGTGTATTGGAACATTTGTGCCTTTAACAAAGCCCAGATATTCCCTTTTATTCTTAGGGGGCCTCATACCAGTCAACATCTTTGTTCTGTTTCAATTCCTGACACACCTGATCCAGGTAATCAAGTGCTGCAGAATGATTACATCCCATTGGTGCATCAGTGATTGGAGCAAAACTAAAATATGAACAGAGAGCCCAGAGGACTGGCTTGAGAACTCCTGGTGTTGATTAAAAGCTTGCATAACATCACCAAACATTTGTCTATCTACAACCAGAGTAGAGAATGTGAAAGCGCATAAAAAAGATGCTTATTGTTATTGCGGTTTTGAAAAAACTGAATAAAACATTTTACCAAGCTATAACAAGAACAGCCATTCAGAACATGAAAAAGAACTTGGCACAGGCAAATAAATTACCTCCAACCACAGTTCTTCACTCATTCACATGGCAGCACACAATTTATGACCAAAGGTATCCAGACACTCCCTCTAATTTGTGAATTCAGCTACTTTAAAGGGGAAATCCACAGATTTTTCTAAACATTTCACAGATTATCTGAATGTTTCACATGTGAAGTGGTTATGAATATGCTGCCTGATGTTTGAGACATTATTTTATGATTTGAGAATATATTTTTTAATCTGCTCATGGCAGAGAGAATCATGCAGGGCATTGTGAGGAAAAGAGTACCCAAAATACCCTTATTCCATATAAAAACTCAGAAAGCACATGTAGGTTCACTGGTGGTTTTGGATAGTAAATACAATGCCTGCATTTGTGTTGTAGACATCATAACCCCTGGATCCTGTGACCACCACTGTAAAGAAATCTGAGTCGGTAAGGTTCTCTGCAGTAAACCATTTCACAACAAGCTACTCTGAATGACTTTCTCAACAACTGAATTATGCTGAATTTTGAAAATGCCCGTTGTGATACACCCATTGCTGACATTGGTGTTCAATTGCACACACGGCTTGAATAATAGCGAAAGAAATTGCAGTAGCATGGAAGAACGGGACACTCTGGAGGAGCAGCATGAGCCGAAGGTCACCATGCCCAATACCAAGCGCTGGCTAAAGGTATAAATCCCCCAGCACTGGGCTAAGGAGCAATTAAACTGCATTCTTTGGAGTGATGTAGCTCCATCCAGTACTGTTAGGATGACTTGAAGAGATGTGTGTGACCCAGAACTAAGCACCCAACATTTCTATCTGACCTCAGTGATGCTCTTGTAGCTCAATAGAGTCAAGTCTTCACAGCAGAGGCACACCCCCTATTAATACCCTTGATTTCTGCTAACCTTTGGATATATAACATGTAGCACGTGTCACATTCAGTTTGCTTGACCTTCGACCAGTCATGAAGACAGCACATATTTCATATGTTGATTTTAAATGTTGGCTAATGTATCTAAATGCAATATATTATCTTTCCACACTAAAGTTTTATTCCGTGACATTTTCTGAAAAGCAGAAACGCAGTGGCATTCCACAGAAGTTAAGCAGACTGAGCTCTGGCTCATAGTTGGATGGGAAACCTGAGAACATCTAGGCTGCTGCTGAAGGAAGGGATGATTATGGATCAGGTAGGATTGCTTTGGATGGGAGCACTGTTCCAGTGGATGAGCTGTAAAACTGAGGTTGTTAAAAAACAGGGCATTTCTTGAAAACAAAGGCTTTATTAATGACATTAATCAAGCTTCTTAATCCATCTACAAATTCATTTATTCCTCCCTGCCAAGCACCTGATGGGTTGGGAATGTGCAGATGCATGTTGGCTGCTGCAGCATCCAGTCAATGACTGCCTGAAGTTTACGACTCTTAAGCCTCAACTACAATACAGTACTGTCTGCATCCAAAAGAACACTTATCTACTGTCCCTGCTGAAGCAGTTATGTTGGTATCTTAAGTCAGCAGCTGGTGTTAACTGATTACAGATGGTATCTTAGGGTCATTAGCAAGATTCTTGCTGGTCTAAGGTGGTCAAGATGGTTGACCAGCTGGACTAGGCTGATAGACCAGTTTGGTCAAGCAGCTCAGAAGGCTAAAGAGTTGTGGCCCAGTTCTATTTTATTATTATTTTCATCTGGTCCAAATATCGCAGTGGTGAGGACGTCATCCGAATCCGGGTGCTGGAGTGTAAACTGTTTGATGTCAGATGAACACAAAATTTTATGTCAACCATTACGTTTTTACCACCTGGGGTTTAAACAGGTAAGAGGGGCGCGCCTATACATTTGCACCACGTAGATGTCTACTCTGTCTAGCTCCCGAGGTCAGAGGGCGGGCAACGCCACATGTACTTTTGGTTACTGGCTAGGGAAGTTTAGAGTAGTTAGCTTTGGTTTCCTTTTTATTAGATTAGCTAAATACTGTTTGTTTCAGAGTAGGCAAGCATGGTTCGGTTTTGATATGTTCTTTTCTTTGGTGCCGTCCAGTTTGATTCTTACAGTATGGTACTAGGTATCACAGCACTCTGGTTTTATTGAGGTTTGTTTTAATAAAAATGGCTTCAAAAGCTCTATTTTGGTCTGTTCCTCACACTTCTAATCAGTTCTCACCAGTTCAGTATTTTAATGCCACATGTTACTGATCCCAAGTACCCTAGACAAAACGTGGGGTCGTAACATTATTGGTTGATCATTTAATAGAATTGTTTCTTATAAACAAAATAAAACCTGACAGCTGGTGGGAGACACTCACCACCTCCAGGAACAAATTATACACTGTTTCTGAATTATCCTGTATTTATGTCAGAAATGATTTTTTATGTATGTCCTTCCAGTAGGTCCCTCTTTTGAAAGGTAAAAAATGAAACAGTAGATTTTTATTTCTTTGTACGCACACTTTTGACGTCCAGCAATCTGGACATTTGGAAATAATTCTTTGAGTAGTATTAAAAAATACAGTCATTCATAATTTTTGTTTATTTTGTTAAAAGTAGATTCTAATGTGTGTTTGAGTGACAGCAGATGATGATCCATGAATTTGGGGATAATATTGTTTTTAGCGATTTCAATGGATTTCACTGTCCAGTATACTGGACATTGGAATTAGGCTAATAAAATTTTGCAAAATGAACATATTTATGATCATTGGGGTAACAGACCCAATGTAACTGTGCATGTGTCTTCTTATTGTGTCTTCTTATGTTAGTGATAAGAAATATGTTCATTTTTCCGAAACTCTCACATTCTAGCTGCCTAACTCCAAATGTCCAGTATACCGGACACTGAATATGTTATTTAGGATGTAGCAGAGAACATGGTTGATAACAAAAACTGTCTTGGGACTGAAGAGGTTAAATAAACTGGATTTCATTTGATCTAATGTTTGAACTAATGTTAGCTGACTGGCTTTGTGCTTTTCCAAGACCTCACTAATAATAATAATTCCTGAACATTTTAGCAATCGTCCATGATTTTACCATGACTGGAAAACTAGTCTCTAGATTTTCAGTTTTTCCAGGACATGTTGGAACCCTAAATGTGGGGCAGAACCTTGTAGGAGGAACCTTACACACTATATGTCCTAGATATATTCTTAAACTTCCCTTGCCTTGCACTTAAAAATGGAACCCTCTTCCAAAGAAAAGTTTTGCAATCCTGTCCTTATTCCAAGTAACTACCGGAAAACACAACAGAACTATTATAGTATCTTTATCTGTGGTTTTGTGGCCTCTTCGCTGCTGTCAGGGTCACCACTTTATCCAAAACCCCAACAATCCATCCACGTTATGCAATACCCATCATGGAGCCATCCTTCTCTCGCTCTCTATTTGTGCTGTGCGGCACAAAGTTCCAATCACATGGTTCTGTTTACTTGCTCGGCTCTTTCTCATCCCTGGAAAGAAGCTTCCAAATTACAACACAGGAAACCCAATTACAGCCTCAGCCCCTCCAGACACTTACATCCTGCTGGAGTGACAAGCCAGGTCAGCACGTGCTGCGTGCTAAGGAAGGAAGAGGAATCCCGCAAATGTTTTGCAATCGCAGACAAGGACACATCTGCTGCTACCAACTCCATGTGTCCACTTCCTCAGTCATCACCTCCATTCTTTCTGCATTCGCTTGACTGATCTTTTATTTTGTTGTTGTAGCTTTTCAGTCCTCCTCAGATGTTTCTGCCAAGCCATCAGCTCCTTAGACGTTAAGAAACAGAACTCTGTGGAATCTTCCAGGCGCGCTGCTTGCTGAAAAATTACCAGCCGTTTTGATGTTTGAGGAACAAATCTGGAGGCCAAGTCATGGTGCAGGTACGAGTGAGCCAAGTGAAGAGAGCCCGGCTTAAAGACTTGGAAAAATTACAACAAGGGAAAAAGTGCCTAATGGAAGCACCCACTGTGGTCCAAGCCCACAGCACATCAGTCGTAAGGCGCAAAAA